CATTTTATGGGATAAAAATGCCATGGGATCTTTTCTTTCATTTGAAAACAAGGGACTAGAAATTCCTAATTTGACTTTTGTAATGTTCTGTTATAGGAAAAGTATATAGTGAAAAGTAAGCTTTGTGTAAACCACAAGTAACATTAATTAAGTCTGTAATTCTCACAATTCAGCAGAGAAGGGGTGTTTGGGAACCAGATTTTGAGAGCCAGCATTGTGCAAGAGATCCGGGGAGTCTGTGTTATTACTCCCTGTCCAGCCTTGATATAAATGGTCTCAGTGGGATATCGATCATATTGTTGGGATCACTTCAAACCACTGGCCCAGCAAGTGCCTCAAAATCATTCCCCTGAAATAATTCAGGGAAACAAAGTCTTGGCATGAAAGTCCCTGTGCATGGAATTTTATAAGACAGAGTTAAAACAAAGAAAGGTCTGAAATCTGCGAGTACACAATCTGAAATGTCCGTTATCTGGATCATGGAACTTTTCCAGGCTCTCGGGAGAGGCCTCTCTGACTGAAAAATGTTTTCAGAAATATATGGTGATAAAATGCATGCATTTAATATTGAAAAATATTTTAATCCAGATGGATTATTTATTTCTAGATCTCTGTTTCTCCATGTGTCTCTATTTGGAAATTTGCATAATGGTCTTTCTACCCTAACCCCTACAGAAGTTTGATTTTGTTGTTCTATGTTTTACCCTACCTTGTTTGTTATATATATTTAAAACAACTATAACAAAACCCCAAACCCCTGTTTCATTTTACTTGATGGCAACCTAATTCTGAGGCTCTTTTGGGGAAGATATTCCATCCCAGTCATTTTGGTGGCTCATTAACTGCTAGGGTTGCAGCTTCCTTTTTTTAAAAAAAATTTTTTTTTAATTGGGAAAAACATGTTGGGGATAGAAGGAGGTGAGGGTTGGGAGCAGAAGGGTGAGGATAGGCAGGGATGAAAATTGCAGGGATGCAGTTGCAGCCACTGTGGAAGCTTGTGGTCCCTGTCATCACTCTACCCCGGCAGTCACTAAGGATATCCTTGTCCAAGCCTACACAGTCTCTTCAAGGGCAAAATTGTACTGCTTCCAATTAGGATATCTTTCAATGCTATACTCCACTCTGCCTGGAGTCATCCCATTTGCTTTACCTCTAACTATTGCCCGTGGGGTATCAAAATCTGTATGTTTATTAAGGCACTGCTCAGGAAGGAGCAGCATAGTGCATTATGTGTGTTGGACTGGTAAATCCACCAGCCGCTCTACAGTTGAGGAGGCTTCTAACACCCTAGGTAGGGTCACCACGAGCCACAACGTGTCACACACAGAGGGTTTGGGTTTTTAGAATTTGTTTAATTCCTACTATTGTTGTTGTTGTTAGATGTTCCTGAATCAACTACAGCTCATAACAACTGTGGACATGAAATCTGAACCCTGCCCTACCCCTGGCCATCTTCATCATCTCTGCCACACTTGAACTCACTGCTAAGGTCACTGTGTCAGTTCGTCTCAGTGAGGGTCTTCTCCTCCCTCGCTGACCCTCTGCTTTCCTGAACATGATGTCCTTGTCCAAGGCCTGTTGTTATTGATTACCGTCAAGTCGAGCATGGTTCATAGCCCCTCCTAATAACATGCCTGATATACATGTGACAAAGTTTCACCATCCTTCCTGCTAAGGGGCACTCTGGCTGCACTCCCAAGACATACTTGTTTGATCTCTTGAAAGTCCATGGAATAGATATTTAGGATTCTTTTCCAGCACCACATCTCAAGGGCATTGATCCTTGGAACTTTATTCATTGTCCCACTCTCAGATGTATAGGAAGTAACTGAATATGGCTTGGATCAGGCACAACTTAGTCTTTAAATTGGCATCTCTGCTTTTCAGCACTTTGGAGAAGTCCCTGACTGCAGGCTTTCCCAATGAAATACATCTTTTGATTTCCTGATTGCTGATACCAAGGTTATTGATTGTGGATCCAAGTAAGATGAACTCATTGGAAATTTCTAACTTTTCTTTTTTGATCATGATGCTGCCTATTGGCCCTGTGTTGAGGATTTTTATTTCCCTGATATTGAGATGTAATCCTTATTGAAGGCTATAGTCTTTGATCTTCTGCAGCAAATGTTTCAAGTCCTTCTCACTTTCAGCAAGCAAAGTTGTATCATCTGCATAACACAGGTTGTTGATGAGTCTTCCACTGATCTTAGTGTCACATTCTTCCTCATAAAGGCCAACTTCTTGAATGATCTGTTCAACATACAGATTGAGCAGATAGGGAGAAAGGATATAGCCCTGACCGACAACTTTCTTGATTTTAAACCAGGCAGTGTTCCCTTGCTCTGTTAACACAACAGCTTCTTGGTTTAGATATAAGCTTCTCATGAGTAAAAATACATGTCCTAGGATGTCCAGTGCTAAGTGTTCTAGGTGTGGCTTCTCAGTGTTAGTCACAATTCGTTATGAACCACAAAATCAAATGTCTTTGCATAGATGATGAAATACAAATAGGTATCCTTCTGTATACTGCTTTCAGCCAAGATACAGCTGACATCAGCAATAAGATATATATTCCTGGTGCCATGATCTTTTCTAAATGCTGCCTTAAACATTGGCAGTTCTCAGTTGATGTGTTGTTCTAGTAATTTTTTAATAATATTCAATAAGATTTTGCTTCAGTGTGATTTTTTTAATTATTTCCACTAGAACTCCTTCAGTCTATTGGCCAGGTACCTGTTTCCAAATTCCTTGGCACACCCTGGTGTGCGTATCTAGGGTTACATCAGTTTGTTGAAACATGTCAATTAGTATAAGCCTTATTTTTTTGTCAGTTCCTTCAGTGCAACTTAGATTTCGTCCTTTATCACCATTAACTCTTGATTATAAGCCACTTGTCAGACAATTCTGTTTTGGTACTATGATTCTGTTTTCATTCTATCTTCTTTGTATGCTTTTTGGATCATTCAGGCTTTTTACTCATGGCATCCTTCAGTATTGCAATTCAATACTTGGCTTTATTTTTCAGTTCTTTCATCTTGAGAAGTCCTGAGTAAGTTCATCCCTTTTTGTTTTGTAACTCCAGCTCTTTGCACATGTCCTTATGGGATTTTGCTGTATCTTTTTGAGCTGCTCTTGGAAATGTTCTGTTCATCTTCTTCACTTTGGCATTACTGTCTTTTATTTTGGCCTCTTGACATCATAGTGCAATTCTGAGTCTCTTGTGACATCACTATTTTATTATGTAGAGAGGAAGAACAGTCCCTGGGAGATACATAAGGTTAAACTCTCAACTACTAACCAAAAGGTTTGTGGTGTGAACCCACCCAGAGATGGACTGGAAGAAAGGCCTGAGCATTTACTTTTTTTTTTTTCCATCAAAGAATACACTTTCTGGAGGGGGAGTAGGTCCACCAAAATGGACATCTTTTACTATGACAAGGAGCAATTATAAATATATACATACTTATATACACATTTATACATATATATTATAAACACTGTATGGTACAAAACACAAATATGTGCAATGTACTTACATTTTGAAAAGTCACAGACTTGACAGTCCTGGGAATCATAGGCCTACTTTGCAACTGCATGGGGTTGCCATGGAGTGGAACTGCCTTTGCAAAGAAAACGTGTGTGTCTTTTCATTTGGGGAGGGAGATGTCTAGTCAGAGACCTTGTTCAAATTTTCATTAGTGTGGAACCCACAGTATCTGTTTCTAGTCTCCACTCAGAAGGTCTTATCCTCTCCAAGCAACTCTCCAGTCAACTTAGCATAATGCATTCAACAAAATTGTGTCCTTATCCTTCAGGTTTATGAAAATGAGAAAGACTTTTAGTTACTGCGGTTTTCTGCTTTGTAAGAAACCTTAAGGCAGGCAATTTCCTTAAGAGAAAGAGGAGGGAAAATAGTGTGAACAAACAATATTTTTTAATTGTTGTGTTGTATGTGCCATTGAGTCACCTCTGATGTATAGCGACCCTACATCCAGCAGCTCTGAACCCTGCCCTGTCCTGAGCCAGTCTCACTAATTCCAATACACTTACCCCTATTGCTGTATCAATCAATCAATCAATCTCATCCAGGTCTTCCTTTCCTACACTGTCCCTCCACCCCTCCAAAATACTGAAAAAAAAAAAAAAAAACCAACCCAAAAAACTGTGTATTTACACATATGATTTCTAGAAAGATTCTTAGGAAATCAATGGTGATAGTTGTCTCTGAGGAGAGGAGATGAGATGAAAGTATTTGTGTGGCATAGTACAGAATTCTATGGTATTGCTTTACGCTTTTATGTGAGTAAATGGGGTTTTTATTATAATGATACTTTTTAAGGCTATTTGAAGTGACTTTTTAAAAAGTATATTTTTAGCCATAAAATACTTGGGTCAGGCAAACCATCTCCATACCACATATTTTTATCTTGATTTTATGAATATAGATGCTACATTCAAAGGAACTCATTTGCCCAAGATTACATAATGGCAGAATCAAGATTCGAACACGTGGTTGTTTTTCCTTCTCCATGGTCTGCCTCCTGAGTTTAAGTTCTTCCCCCCCACCTCCCAAATTGTTCAAGTAATGAGGCCTTGCAAATTTTCTTCATCAGGCCACACATCTATGCCAAATCCCTGAATACCAATAAATTTTTGAAATCGTGTTTCAGAATATACCATAAAATATAAATAAGAATGACACACAGTTCATTTCAAGTTCACGCACAGCAGCAGTGTGCAGGGTTAACTGTAAACCACGTGGAGGAAGCTGAACATGAAATATTAGGCAAAGCCAGTTCTACAGGAATGAAATAATAAACTTAGAAAGGGTGAATTATAGCTCCGAATATAACAGAGCGACGTGTCTTACTTATCTTTATGTCAGATACAATTCAACAGTGTTAGCAAATTTTAAAATATTGGTTGCCACTTTTGTTTGATTGGTTGTTCTAGGGGATGTTTGTGGTTGTTGAAGATTAATAACAATGTGTTTTTTATAGGCTGCTATAGTGATACATGAAGTCTATGAAGAAGGAGCAGCAGCCAGAGATGGAAGACTTTGGGCTAGTGACCAAATACTGGAGGTATAGAATTTCTAATTTTATTTTATGCTGATAAATATAGTTCCTTTGCTGATCTTGAGCCACAAATTTCATTTATTTATTAAATGTCATCTACTCAACTATATTCTCATTTTATGAAACATACAGTGGATTCTTCCTCTTATTATTTTTTAAGTGTGTGTTAAATAGTTTCCTGGGTTAGAATCATGATAAATTATCACCCTAAATTTGTTGTGAAAAATAAGTTTCAATTGAAAAAAACCTACTACGTATAATGATATAATGATATTTCCATTTAATTTTTTCGTATCTCCATATACCTCTCCAAATCCCCTACTAACAACACGTATACACAGGCAGCTGCTGTTTAAAGATGCTTCAAAAATTATTTTCTTAATCCTAATAAATCTGTACGTTAAACAGAGGTCATACTTTGCCACCTATGTTTTTAAGCTAATAAAAACAGAGAACCTTCTCCCCTTAGGTGGTATATGGTACTTATTAAAAATTGAAATGCTTTAACTTGACTCTTTCTAATGGATTCATTTAGCAGAGGCGTTAAAGCTTTTTAAAACGTGCCAAGGCATGCAGTGTCTGAGCTGGGGACGGATGAATGGAAAGCCAACGCCAGGCATTCTGGTGGGTGGAACTAAAGAGCTTTTTCTATGGTGTGAAACCTTTAGGCAACATTTATTTCTTTCATTGGGTGAATTTAATTGAATGGTTAACATTTTATGGTGGGCATGTGCATTTTCCCTTGCAGCTTTAATAGAGCACATTAGGAATGACATCATAGAATTGTATTTTTCCCTTTAGTGGTTTATTTCTGCCTCCCAAGATGAAACTGGAGATATAATTAAAGGCACAAAATATAGACAAGAAGGAGTTAAAGGAGAGGTCAGGCTGACTGCAAATTAAATTCAGAGCAAGTTATAGGGTTTCTCCTGTAGGTCTTTACTGTGCTTCGTCATTGGCTTAGGACAAATTCCCAGTTGGTTCATTAATGTACAAGTGTATGAGGTTAGGAAAATAAGTAAGCCCTCTTTGGCAACTGGTAAGACTGTTATCCCTTACAACACTGTTTTTTAGTGATTAGATATATGGTATTTTCGTTTTATTGTTTCCTCCCTTCCCTAAATTTCCCAATCAGCTAGAATTATCATTATTTGCCTTGTAAAAGAATACAGATTAAATTTTGAGAGCATAGATATGTATATGCCTTGATACTTAGAGGAATTGTAAGTTCATGATTCTCTGTAGTCAAGATTCTAATATATTCACTTTCTCAATTATGGTAGTGTGTTTTGTAAATGTAATTCACATATTTGAAAATATATCAAGTGTTCACTTTAGATATGTCAAGTACATTTTAACCATTTACACCTCAATAAAGGAGATCTGGTGGCATTGTGTGTAATATGTTGGGCCATTAACTGAAAGATCAGGGTTCAAATTCACTAGTTACTCCTCAGGAGAAAGATAGGCCGTCCCCTTCTGTAAAAAAATTGGCAGCCATGGAAACCTGATGGTGGGTTTTCATGTGCCAAAATCAAGTTAGTTTCAGTGGATTTGGTTCTTGGGTTTTATTCCTCAAAAACTATTCAAGAACAAATGAGGGACCAATTTATTTTCATTAATAGCTGTAACTGCTCTGTTCCTTACACTATATTGATATGCAAGTAAATACTTAGTTGATTAGTATAAAGAAAGCAATTTTTTTTTTAAATGGAAAGAGAATTTGAAAGACCGAGTAAACTATTTCCAGAATTCTACTAGCCCTTCTAAGTGCCTGGCCAAATCTGTCATTTAAGAGAACCGGGACAAGCTTTAATCTCAGACCAGGGAATGCACTTTCTCCCAGCTTGGCCAGGTAGCACACTTCCTTTCCAAGGCAGCTTTCACTTTTAGCATTGGCCTTTGTATCTGTTCTAGTTGTGGACATTGCATGCAAATGTTTAATCAGCTTGTGGCCTAAAAGTTTCCAGTAGAAGAAGGCAGGCAAACTTTGATTGGACATTTGAGACCTCAAAGCAAGGCAACTGCTTGTATTTTCCAAATAATTGCCTTTCCATTTATGTGGGCTCTTTGCATTCTGCAAGCTGGCCTTTCACGATTTTAATACCATGTACATTCTTAAATTAGGACAAACTAGATTTTGCTTTCAAAATATAGTCAGTTTTTTCAGCATGGAGGTACTTTATGGTTCTGTGATTGTTGTAGTTGTTACTATGTGCCGTCAAGTCAACTATGAGTTGTAGTGACCCTACGAGAAACGGCGCCGACCTTTGCCATATCCTATGCCATTCTCACCTTCTCCAACGCACTTGGGCTCATTATCACTCCGTCCTCTCTTACCTTTCCAAGCATGATGTCCTCTCCAATGACTGCACACACTATACAACATGCCCAAAGTATGTGAGATGGAGTTTCACCATCCTTGCCTTCAAGGAGCACCCTGGTTTCACCTTCTCCAGAACAAACCTGTTTGTTTTCTTGGCAGTAAATGAAATAGTCAATATTTTTCTCTAAAACCACAACTCAAAGGCATCAATTCTTCTTCTGTCATTCTTAGTCATAGTCCAACTTTCAGATGCATAGCAAGTAATTGAAAAGATTATGACTTGAATCAGGCACAACTTAATCTATAAGCTGATATCCTTGCTTTTTGGTACTCTGTGGTTTAGTTTTCTGGTTGTTGTTGTTGTTGATTGCCATCGAGTTGGGCACAGCTCACAGCGACCCTATGTACAAAAGGCCTAAAGTCTTTCTATAACTATTGTCATTTATCAAAGTTCATAGCGTTTCCAGAGGCATGTTGTTTTAGCATGGACTAAATGTCTTAGATTAGCAAGGATGGTGAAATTTCATCTCACTTGGGGCATATTCTCTGGAGGAAACAGTCCTCTTGGGGAGAGAGATTGTGTTTGGATAAGTAGAGGGTCAGAGAGAAAGAGGAAGACCCTCAATAAGAGAAATGAACACGGTGACTGTGACCATGGACTTGAGCTTGACAGGCATTGTGAGAATGGGGCAGGATGAAGCAGGGTTCAGGTCTGCTGTTGTCAGGGTCGCTGGAAGTCACAGCAAACTTATCTTTCTAATTCTTCTTTTACTGTGTGTCCTTCCTTTTCCCTACCATATTCTTCATCCCCCTCTATTTTGGTACAGATGAGAGCAGCAAGAGTAGAAGGTTAATGCTTAATTTTCCCTGTGGAATGAAGTAATGGTTAACCACTGCCTTAAATAGATTCTAATTTCTCTTTAAAAGTGCAGTTCACACACTTCTTTATATACCTATTGCTGCACTAGCCCCACACCTACTCATCTAGAATCAATGATCTAAATAATGTATAAAGTGCTCTTGTAAAGCACTCAATATGATACACCATGTGACAGCATGCAGGCCACCCACCATTATTTCTTACGATCAGTGAAATATTTTGTGATGGGGAACCAAATGGAAACTGAACTTAGAAAAGATCACTTTGATTTCAGCGGGCATCTTAATACTAGAATTCAGTAGAAATTGTTTTTTTCAAAGTTAATGTTTAATGACAACACATTTCATTAAAAATGTAACTGGTACAGGTTTTTTACAAAAGGTACTCAGAGGCTTAGAAAGTTCACCTTCAATCTACAGAGGTAACTTGTCTTTGCGTTGGGTGGGTGGTCTTGTGTGCCATCAATTGGAATAAAAGGAACTCATCAGTCTCACACTATTTCCTAAACATTGTGTTCCTGTGTGTTCTATGGCCTTACTTTACCAATAATGAGAATGCATTCATTAGCCTAACGTAACAGTAAATAATCACGCAAAGAGAAAATAGCATGACTGCAATTTTCCTGCATTAACAAGATTTGTTTCATTTCACCCACACCACACTAAGCAGTAGGTGTGGCTGATAGCAATTATCAGTGATTTGTAGAAGACATGCCTGGAGTTTAGCTTAAATGATTGATGACATTACACATAAACGGTAAATTGGAGTCTACAATAGAACTGGAGTTTATCATTTTACAAAACCCCTACTTAACTACTGTTAGTGCAGATATTTATCATTCTTTTTGCTGTGGCAAGAAGCTGTGCTGCCATCCCAAAGGCACACAGTTCGAGGCCACCAGCCACTCTGTGGGAGAAGGATGGGCAGTCTTCTTCCGTGCAATTAACTGCCTCTGAAAACCCACTGGAGAGTCAGCTATGGGTCAGTTCTGATTAAACAGTACGTACCACCACCAACAATATGCTGTGTGGATAATTTAAATGAAAATGTAGTCCATCAAGATATGTGGGGTGGGGAGAATAGCTTGAAAATTATACTCTTAAGCATTTCCATAGTTCTTAGAGTTATTTTTTTCAATAGCTCAAAAATCACCTTCTTAAGGAAGGCTTCATTTCTCCCTTCTCTGTAACCATCTGTAGTATTTAGAATTCTAGGATTGACTAAGACGTAGGCTTCATTGTACAAGTGAAGGAGCAGGGCTTCAGAAATGGGCTTGGTGTGCTTGGAGCACACCTGGACACACTTGAACAAATAGCAAAAGGACCATCTCAGAATAATATGTCTGCTCTGTCATCCACCTATCTGTGACTGTGGCCCATCCTTTCCTCTTTGCCATTTCCCCTAGCTCTGGCCCTGAGCATTTGGTTACCCAATGACTCTCTTCCTCTGATTGCTGGGCTGCTTTGCTCCTGAGTGTCTCCCTTAGATCTAATTCATTAACTAATATCAGGATATGACTTCCCTTGGATCATTGAGGTGCTGTAGATCATCCTAAGGATAAATTGGGAGGCAGCATGACATGGGGACTAAGGATGGATGGACAGATTTTATGAATTCAAACATTGGTTCTTCCACCACCTGTGGTAACCCTGGCCAATTTACTTAACCTCCCTATGCCTTCATTTCCACGTCTGTAAAATGGTTGTAATAGCAGTATCTCTTTCAGAGAGTTAGCATAAGATTAAATACGTATTTTTATAAAGAGCTAACATCTAAGCGCTACATAAATTAAAAACCCAGTAAATTGGCTGTGTTGTCTATTTAACAGGAAAGGAAACAGTCTCAGGGGTAATATAACTTCCCAACTTCACTTAACTCACAAAATGCAGAGCTTTGGCTTCTCTGTCACCTCTCGTTCAAGCCCCTTGTGCTTGCTGTTTAAAATGCAGTCCTAGCTATTTGCTTAGCCCCAGATTCAAATGAAAGAATTTTAGTGGCTCTTTGGTGGTATTAGAAATACACATCTCTTATCTCCAGTGTCATAAAGCAGTTGTGATGTTAACAATTAAGAATGAACATGTCAACTCTACTAAGCAAGTGGAATCTATAATAGCTACTATTTATTGCCCTTTCATCTCAATTAAATGAGCTAGTGAAGCTCCACTCCCTCTATAGTGTTGATTTCCTCATAAAGTTCAGAGCAATGTAAAATTGCACTATCATGTGTCCTAACTTTCTGGCCTTATTTGGGATGGGAGTGAGGGCCATGGGATATCATCTACAGCTCTGGTGACGTAGTGCATTCTGTATTGCACTGCTTACTGAAAGTTTGGTAGCTCATATCCACCAGCAGTTCCACTGGAGAAGTTTGAGTGGCCTCCTATAAAGATTTACAGCCTGGGCAAACCAATAGAGGGTTGCTATGAGTTGGACTCCATTGTTATGAATGTTGACACAGTAACTATATCAATGGGTTCAAGCTTGGCAGAGGTTGTGAGAATGGAGCAGGATAGGGCAAGGGTCTACTCTTATTGTTCATAGGATCACTGTGAGTCATGGTGTACTCAGCAGCACTTAACAACAACAACAACATGAGTTGGACTCAGCTTGACAGCAGCAGCTTTGGTTTGGGTTTGGAGTACTACAAGTGGACAGCGCCGGTGTGGGGAATGACTGGTGATTTCTGGAGTTGTTCACTGGATTGCAGAGCATGGATAGACATATGTTGCCTCTGCTGTCAGCAGCTCTTCAGCGATGCCCATTATTGCAGGTTAACGGGGTTGATCTAAGGAATGCCAGCCACGAGGAGGCCATCACAGCCCTGCGGCAGACTCCCCAGAAGGTGCAGCTGGTGGTGTTCAGAGACGAGGCGCACTACAGGGATGAGGAGAACTTGGACATTTTTCCTGTGGATCTGCAGAAGAAAGCTGGCCGAGGACTGGGCCTGAGCATCGTTGGGAAACGGTAAAACAATACAAGTCGGATTAGCTTTTTGTTCAGAATTCGAGGCACTTATGTTGTTAAACACTGATAGAGTCTAACATACACTTAATGATAATGATTTCTAAAATTCTTATACTTATTAATGTTTGAACAAAATAGATCATATTCCTGAGCAAATACTTAGTCTCTTTCCCTACCCTCAAATAGTGTCACATCAAGATGGAACCCCAAGCCCAATCTACTCTGAATGTTCAGACTCTTATTCCTATTAGAATAGGATCAGAGTCACAAAGGACTTTTCAACATGGAACCACCTAGATCTGAAGCTTGCTACTAGGCATTAATTAAGGTCCCCATGCCCAGGAAGGGAGCTCTGATGGCTTAGTGGTAAGGAATTGTGCTGGCAACACAAAGGGACTCAGTTTGAATCCACCAGAAGCTCCAGGGGAGAAGGATGGACAGTCTCCCCTTCTGTGTGATTTACTGCCTCTGAAAACCCACGAGGACATCATCTATGAGTTGGTTCTGACTCGATGGTACACAACAACCATCTCCCCAAGAAATGTCTAATCCCAAGAAAAGATGTGGATCTCTTGGTACAACGTTGAGTTTGCTCTGCTGTAGAACACAGAGCATTCATTTCATATTGTGTTAAAACTAGTTGAGTGGACAGAATTGAGACTCCAGCATAAATTCTTCCTGATATATCAGTACTTCTCTATTTAAAACAGAAACAACCAATGATGTCCCTCAAAAATGAACAGTTTGCACTATAAATGAGCATAGTTTCTAGGAGGCTGCTGTGTTGATGTAACTGTGCGTCATTCACCATGTGATGTGAATTACAGTAATTGTTCCAGGATACTGTTAGTAAGTTCTCTCTTGCAGTTTACTGGGGAGATAAGTAATATCCTGAAGCTGTGGTTCTAGCTCCCACAGTTTGCTGGCTGTTAGACATGTATTGTATATGAATTCCAACAAGGCTGCAAAATTTCCAGGTGATTCCCTAATATTACCTTAAGTTATACTATCTTCTTAGGAAGCATTCAAATTGGTCTGATATGTACGATCTCAGGTGTCCTTTCAGATCTCTAGCCTAATGGGTTTTTTTTCTGACCTTCTGTTTTTATTGAAATAAAAATCTTAACAACCATTATTGAGCACTAGTTTTGTGCCAAGAATTGTACGCTCATTATTATTATCTTGTGTTTTTGCTTTAACACCATAAAATCATCACTCTGAAAACTGTATTAGAAAGCAAATAAAGAAGACACTCAAAATTGCAAACAAAGTCAGCCCACATTCTGGGTGCCCAGCAACTGACAGAGCCTGTCTTGAAGTTTGCTTTCTAGTGGTGTCACATGCACATGCCTGGAGAGATTCCGTTTTAGAGTAATGCTTTTGTGCTTTCTTGTCTCTCAGTGAATCGTTGACTTAACCTTCATAAGGCCCCAGTGTTTCAGTGTTTGTTTTTAAGGACACTTAACATTCCTTAGCACAGAAAGTTCCTTTGTGATGGATCAGATGCATAGCTCTCAAAATCCACTAGGACCACTTGAGGTACGGTGTTCATGCACATTGTTTGTAATCTCTAAAGAATGGAGATAAAATATACTCCCCTGATGAAACTCTACCATAGATTATTATGTAGCCATAAAAAAAAAAACCCAATACAACACTGAGGACTTTCCAGGTACTGATGTGCAGAAATCACCAAGGTATGTTAAAAAGGATAAAAGGTGAACTGAAAGAAAACAAAACTGGAGGAGAAAATATTTATGTGTATTCATTCATTCACATGTACATATGTACTTACACACATCAGTTTGATTATATATACCCAGAATGTCTCTTGGAGATACCCAATATATGAGTAACATTAACCTACGAGTAAGAGAAAGAGAGAGAGAGAGAACACTTTTACAGAATGGGGAACTAAAATGAGATGAAAAATTTTTAAGGTACATACTTGTTAACCTCTCCAATTTATCTTGAATAATGCTATAGATAACTATTCATCAAATGTTGTTGTTGTTGTTTACCATCGAGTTGGAACTGACCTGTAGCTGACCCTTCCCACAGGTTTTCAGAGGCAGTTAGTTGCACGGGAGGAGATTGCTCATCTTTCTCCTGCCTGTGGGTCATCTGGTGGTCTCGAACCACGTGTTTTTGAGACTGCAGCGCAATTTCTTGCCACTAGGCTACTAAAACTCTAAAAATACTGAAAGAGGAAGTGGAAAGAAGAAAAAGAATAGTGACCAGATGCTAGTTGCTGCTGTCGTGCGGTGCTGTCAGTTGATTCTCACTCAGAACGGCCCTGAACACAACAGAATGAAAGAGTACTCAGCCTGTGCCAACCTTGCAGTCATTGTTATGTTCAAGCCTATTATTGCAACTACTGTGAATCCAGCTTGTTGAGGACTTTCCTCTTTTCACTGCCTCTCTACTTTACCAAGAATGATACTCTTCTCCAGAAACAGGTCCCTCCTAATACCATAACCAAAGTCTCATCACCCTCCCTTTTAAGGACCATTCTAGCTGTACATTTTCAAGGCAGGTTTGTTCATTCCTCCATGTTTCTATGGATAGTCAAGTATTCTCTGACAACACTGTCATTCGAAAGCATCCTTTTTCTTTCATTCGTCCCTATTTATTGTTCACTTTTCACATGCACACGAGGAAAGAGAAAATGTCAAATCTTGGGTCAGGCACAACTTAGTCCACAAAAATTCTATCTTTTTATCACTCTAGAGCGATCTTCTGCAGTAGATTTGCCTCATATCATACACTGTTTGATTTTTTGAATGCTCTGTGTTTTCAAGGGCATTGATTATGGATTCAAATAAGAGAATCTTTGACAGTTTAAATGGTTTCTCCCTTTATCATGACATTGTTTATTCATCCAGTTGTGCAGATATTTGTTTTCTCTGTGTTGAGATGTAATTCATATTGAAGTCTGTAATTTTTTTATCTTTATCAGTAAGAGCTACAAGTCCTCTTCATTTGCAGCAAGCAGGATTGTCTCATCTGTGTATTATAGGTTGGTAGTGAGTTTGCCTCCAGTCTTGATGCCATGTTCTTCTTTATACAGTCCAGTTTCTCAAATTAGCTGTTTAGCGTACAGATTGAGTCAGGAAGGGAACATTACAACTTTGCTGCATACATTTGTTGCTTTTAAACCAGGCAGCATCCCATTCTTCTGTTAGAATGACTGCCTTTTTGTCTATGTACAGGTATTGCAGAAGCACAATTAAGTGATTTGAATTTCCTGGCTTTTGCTATGTTTTTCATGATTTGTTTTGAGCCACACAGTCAAATGCCTTCATATAGTCAGTAAAACACAGGTAAAATAAAGCAAATCTTTCGAGTATTCTCTTCTCTCGGGCAAGATCCATCCAATGAGAGCATTCTGCATTATTTTCTGAATTGCACTTAATGATCTAGCAGTTCCCTGTCATTGTACTGCTACAACAGTTTTTTTCGTTAGCTTCAACCAAACTTGACTTGTGTGTCATATTAATGATATTATTTGATAATTTCCATGTTGTGCTCTGTTACTTTTATTTGGAATGGGCACATCTTTTGAGGTCTCGTACATCCTTCAGTATTTTATTGATAGAATTCATCACTGTTGCAACTTAAGGCAACTTAAGAACTTCTGTTCTTTCAACTTGAGAAATGCTCTTTAGCTGAAATGTGCCCCCCATTGGTAACTGCTGGCATTTGGAATACTAGTGGAAGAGTCTCCAGCATTGCAGCAACAAACAAGTCACCACAGCATTACAAAATGTGGAATGAGTAGTAGTAATTGTACTAATCTTCTCTAGGGAAATAGCCTGTCATTTTTAAGAATACTTAATTCTGCCTTTTAAAGTGAATTTTTATTCCACTTTACTAAAATTATCATTTTGTAGAAATTATGCCCTTGAGCCAATAAAAATGAATATTCCAATAGACAGCATAAATAGGCATAAACAATTTAATGGTTGAATGAATGGAAGTTTATCATTTAGCAAGTTGGTAAATACTAATGGCTAATATGGCCTTATAGGGTCTTTCCTTCCAAGTCTTAAGATTTAGGATGTCTGTATAGGATGTCACGTAGCTCTGGTGGCCTAGTGGTAAGGAATTGTGCTGACAACCCAAAGGCTTGCAGTTCAAGTACACCAGCAGTTCCGAGAGAAAAAGATGGGTAATCTCCTGTGTGACATACAGCCTCTGAAAACCTGCTGGAGAGTCGTGCTCTGACTTGGTTCTGACTCGATGGTATATAGCAATTTAACTAAATAGAATGTCAGAAATCTCAGATTTAATAAAGACATCTAATAAAGAAATATTATTTCTTTTTCACTAGTGAACTTTGGTGGTGTAATCTATAGGGTGTTACATTGTTAACCCAATGGTAGCACCTCTCTCAGTTCGAATCCACAAACCACTCCTTGGGAGAATGATAGTCTCCTCTCATGTAATTTACAGCCTCAGACAATCTGCTGGAGGGTCGGCTATGAATTGGTTCTGACTCAACAGCAGTGAGACAGAGAGAGATACAGAATGTTGGTGCTCCCAGATTTAATAAAGGCATATTAGGTTGTACCTCACGGCTTTTTGGTATTAACAGAAGTGGAAGTGGCGTCTTTATTTCTGACATCGTCAAAGGTGGAGCTGCAGACCTTGATGGAAGATTGATTCAGGGTGATCAGATATTATCTGTGAATGGAGAGGACATGAGAAGTGCCTCACAGGAGACAGTGGCCACTGTCCTAAAGGTGAGTCCAGTCTCTTGACTTTTCTGGCTCAGTGGCATCACTAATCCAGTGGGAACTGTTCTAATCCAGGCTGGTTAGAAAATTAATTTGATTTTATGCTGACTCATGTTTTCACAGAAGCCTAATATCTGATCATTTTATTTTTTATTTTTTGATAAAAAGTGATTTATTTTCTAAAAGTATAAAAACACATACAAAACAGGACTCACGCTAAACTAGAATTAAGAGGAGGTGATGGTGAGAAGGCACCGGTGCCGCAGTCACTGCCCGACGCTGGCCGAGGGCACCGCTGAACCACGCAGGGATCGGTGTAAACTTTATTGAAGGCATACTCATAAGGGCTTGCGCTTCTCCAGGTTTAGAAAATACACTCCCGGGGCCTCTGAAGAAAATAATTTACATATCTGATCATTTTAAGTATTCAGAAAACACTTTGAATGAAAACTTGGTTATGCTAAATCGCAATATTGCAGGTAAACTGGCTTTGGGATTGCTAAACTGGCTTTTCTCCCATCCAGGTACTAACCAGGCCCGACCCTGCTTAGCTTTCGAGATCAGATGAGATCGGGCGCATTCAGGGTGGTATGGCCGTAGACTAAACTGGCTTCTCTTACTTGTGGGAATTTTTAAACTCCACAATGGTCCTCCAAATGCATTTGATGGTAGATCAGATGCATTCTTCTAAAGCCACAGGATTCACACTCTTCAAGGCTTTCAGAGAGCAAATTAGTGAGAAGTCGTCCAACCCAACTTTTATCATGCAAAGGATTGTGAAAGATTTTCTAAAGCAGTTTCTCATTTTACAGATGAAATGGCATAACTCTGCAGAAGTCATTTTCCTACCATCTCAGCTGCATCTTGCTGAGGTTCAAAATTCACTGCCAAATGTCTCCACTACTTGAACCTGACTTCCCAGGCATACAACTGGTTTACAAAAACTCTTGTCCCTTTCCATTCAACTATGAAACAAGGTGCCATGACAACCCAAGGTGCATCCAAGTAGAACTGCTCCAGAGAGTACTCAGTGGCTGTATTTTAGAGTACATCTCCAGACTCTTCTGCAGCACCTCTGGGGGCTCAAACCTCCAACCTGTTGATTAGCAGCTGAGAACATTAAGCATGTGTGTTTTATTGTATGTTTCACAAATGGCTTTTGCAATGACTGGCCTCATTTACTTGAAAATCCTGATAATCAACTTTCAGTTATTCCTAAAGAGATTTGAGATTTTAAGTTATCGATGTTTGATTTTTCTTTCCTTATCTTTTTCACCACTTTTTCTTACCTATTTCCGTGTTCATGAATACTTTTACCAAAAGGAGGCAGAGGAGAAGAGAGAACTTGAAACGCGGTACTTCTGAGTCCATGCCATCAGCAGGTTAAGAAGCCATGAGATAAATATGTCTGTTTAAATTTTGGTTACTTTGCTTGATTTTGTTACTGAACGACCTTTTCCTCTGTTGCCTTCATCACCCACTCACCATTCCTGGCTGCAGACATGAGTGGAGACTGTGCTGTGATGTTTTAGAACATAACAGTTCCTGTTTTTAATTTCTGTTCTTATCTTTTCAAGTGTGCTCAGGGCCTCGTACAGTTAGAGATTGGTAGACTCCAAGCTGGTTCCTGGCCCTCCTCCAGGAAGACATCACACACGAGCCAGGTTAGTGATGACTGGCAGACTTGCTTACCCTTCTGAGGAGAAAGTATGCTATTTCATAAGCGATTAATTGGAAATAATATCTAATATGTAGTCTATTCACAACATCATTTTCAGTGTATTTTAGTATGTCTGAAACAGCTTCAAATCCATTCATTTCACTTTACACTCTTACTGAGAATTTGCATTTTAATCCCAGGTATACTCAATGTAAATCTACATTTTAACAGAATCCCAAAGTTGTTCGTATAGATTAACCAGTTCATTTTTGTGTATACATATTTCAGTCAACCTTATTCCTTTGAGTGGGAACCAAATTATAGGTGACACTCTAAGGGGTTTTCAGAGGCTGTAATATGGATTGCCAACCTTTCTCCCAGACTGTGGATTTGAACTGCCTGCCTATGGGTTAGCAGCACAATTACCTCTAGGTTATACTCCAGAGCTCCCTAGAGATTCTTACCTATACATAAAATCCCTACGCATACATAAGAATCTTGTTAAAATATAGATTCTGATTTAGTATCTGAGGTGAGGGGGCGGGGAAAAAATTAAGTTTCAGCAGGGGGTTAAACCAAAATGAACCAGTTTGAAGCCCCAATTTGACATGAAATTGAAAGGTAGGATGGAAATTCATTAATCTCCAGATTCTTCTCCCCTTTATGACCTACAAGTGTTTCCTGAGAACCACTTTTCTCGCCCACTATTAGTTCTAGATTGCCTACGAATGCATGTCCACAGCTGTGTTTATTTAGAAAGAAGGAAGGAATGAAAGACGCAACATCTGGTGGCAATTTGACCCTCATTAGCACAATATTGTTCTATTCATTCAATTAAATATTGCTATAAAGTTAACTTGTGAATAGCCACTCACACATGTTGAGGGCAATTACTGGTGTATTCCTAGGAGAGGAGGAATGTGGGGGTTTCTCTCTTGATAGGTGATGTTTTGTGGGCTTTGTTTATTTGCAAGGTGATATAATTGCCACTATTTTTTTCCATAACAAAGTTATTCCAGTGCTTCGTTTGGGGGGTTGTTTTTGTTGGGGCTTTTTTGAGTGTTTTTCTTTTCAATTAGCAGCTGAGAAAAATTAAGATAGTAGCTCCATCTTTGTCTCGCCTCATTTGACTCGCGATGAAACTAGAGAAACTTCCATATACCACCCAATCCTTCCAGGGTTAGGGATGGAACTTTGTTTTTAAAAAAATAAACAACTTTTGGTTCCTTCCCTAGGCTTTGATAGTCTCAAAGCCTCTCCAAGACCTTTGTTCAGAAGCGAGTGTTAGTTTTATGGTTAGTCCATGGATGCTTCAGGAATATTATCGGCTGTCTACTTCGCTCCGTTGATATTAAAAAATAGGTGAAAAAAATACTTCTTTTCAGTTAGGTTCACAGACTACCTGACTAGTCTTAGGGAAGTCTCAAAGCTGTCAACTGTGATGAAGAACATGTTACATTTTTCATTTTTCCCACCCTCATTTCTGGCTTCTATAATAGTATCAAGTAGCATGCATACGAAGATTGCTGCAGTGATATTGCAGGAGAGAGTGTTTGGGGATGGATCAGACCAACAGTGGGAACCAGCGATGCAAAGCAGTTACCTTAGCTAGGTGAGTCCTTAATGGAAGAATCATATTTGATGCACACAGGAGATTAGAATATAAAATAGAATAATACTGAAGACAGAATTTATTCTTCCTAGCTGAGTTTGAGGAGACTACAGAGACATCCGATTAGGGCTCACATCAAAGGATTTTTGACAGGTGAAAAAGGAATAAGGCATTACAGGTAGAGGGAATAGTCTATGCAAAGCCACAGTGATAAAAGATGTTCTTCTAAGAAAAGTTTGGATTGATAGGTGATGTGGTGAGTAGACCTTGCTTTCTGCTCTTCTTGAAAAGTATATATAATGAAACTTTACACAAGGTTAAATACAAAGCTAAAAAATTTAGAAGCTGCATAATTAGACACCAAATAAGCTAATGTTGTGTGTTAGGTGTGAGGATGGCACAGGATAGAATAAGGTTCAGATCTTTTGTTCATAGGGTCGCTATTAGTCATATTCGATTCAGTGGTACTTAACAATAACAGCAACCATTTATTTGCTGTATGAATAAAAGCTGTCATGTTTTGTCAAATACTGGTCGCTTAACTCTCTTGCTCAGACCTTTTTTATCTCACTTAATGATAATTAAACTCAGTTTTAAAATGATAATAATTTAATGTCTTCTTGTCTTTACAGTAATGACCAGGATATGACAGTGTGTACTGAGAGTTGGCTAATGTAAAGGCTTATAGTCAGTTTTGAAAAGGAAGCATTTTCTATCACCATTAGTTGAAGACCAGATCTTGATCCATATGGAGAAAAAGGAAATCCTGCCCTGCGATGTTCAGTTCCAGATCTATTGAGAGCAGTCAGGACCACCTGAGGGCACAGATTTCTTCCTGGAAATTAGAAGATAATTCTAACCTTTAAAGCACTGAGGAGAATTACAACCAAAAGGATTGTCCTATAGAAATTGAGTTTAGTAAAAGAAAACTTCTGGTTTTAGGAGCACACCCACCCTCCCCAACCCATTTTCTTTCCAGGTTGCTTTTCTAGTTAGCCAAGAAAGAATTTTTCTACTCTGTAGAGAAAATTTTGTATTGCGGGGAGGAAAAACACTAGAAAATGCTTTTTATTCAGTGATAACAAAGCCAGGCAAAGTACATATTTATAAAGAGCATGGCAAACATATTTATTTCCTGATAGTTTCAGGAAAAGTTATCGTTTATGCTGTGCTTTTCTGGTTCTGGTCCCACAAATGACTTAATCATGTTAGGAAGATACTCCTTCTTGCATGAGTATCCATTATGAAAGGTGACGTCTGCAGCTAACTTTTAAATGCTTTTTTTGAAAGAGGATACACTGAGAGAGGGAAGGATAAATGGAGGAGGGTGCTGTTGCTAGGTGATGTTCAGTTGATGATGACTCATAACTACACTAAGAACAATAGCTTTCTATCCTGCACCATCCTCGTTGTGTCCACAAGCCCAAGGCTACAGTCACTGTGTCAGTCCAGCTTGTTGAGCATCCCCCCCTCTTTCTCTGACTCTCTACATTTTGCAGCATGATATCTTTTCCCAACAACTGGCCCCTCCTGGAAACGTGTTCAAAATATATGAGACAAAGTTTCACCATCTCTGCCTCTAAGGAGCATCATGGTTGCGTTTCTTCCAAGACAGATTCGTTTGACTTTTTTGGCCATTCAGTAATCTTTTCCCAATATTACAATTCAAAGGAAATCACTTCCTCAAGCATTCTTTCAGATGTCATTCTTTCTGCCAGCTTTCAGATGCATTGGAAGCAGTTGACACCATCCCATAGATCGGGTGCACTTTTATCTGTAAATTGATATTGTTTCCGTTAGCACTTTGGAGAGGACCTTGACAGCAATTTTACACCAGTGCAGCGTGTCTTTTAATTTCTTGACATCTTTCTTCCATGGGTATTGATTGTGGATCCAACTAAAATGAAATCTTTAATAACTTCAGTCTTTTCACCATCTATCATGAGGTTACCTATTGGTCCAGTAGTGAGGATTTTTGTTTTCTTGATGTTAAGACGTAATCCATGCTAAAGTTTGTACTCTTTGTTCTTCAGTAAGGGCTTCAAGTCTTCACTTTCAACAAGCAAGCTTCTTTAGTCATCTGCAAGTACAGGTCTTCCTTCAGTCTTGATGTCTGTCGCATTCTTATTCATATAGCCCAACTTCTTGAATGATTTGCTTAACATAAAGATTGAATAGGTACTGAGAAATGTTGCACTCTTGACTCATACTCTTCCTGATCTTAAACCCACAATATTATCTTGTTCTGTTTGGACAATAGCCTCTTAGTCTGTGTCCAAGTTTCTCACGAGCACAATTAGTATTCTGAGAGTCTTATTCTTCTCAGTGTTGCTAATACTTTGTTATGATCCACATAGCCATGACTTTGCATACTCAACAAATCACAAGTAAACATTTTTCTGGTATTCGGTATTCTCTGCTTTTAGCCAGCATTAATCTGTCATCAGTCAATAGTGATAACCCTGGTGCCATATCCTCTTCTGAATCCAACTTGAATTTCTGGCAATCACCTGTCCATGTATTGTTCTGTTGTTGTTGTTGTTGTTCTAGACATTTTTAAAAAATCTTCAGCAAGATTTTACTTGTGTGTGGTATTAATGATATTGTTTGTTAATATCCAGTCTTTTGGATCACCTTTTTGGGGAAGAGGAACAAATATTCATTTCTTCTAGTCAGTTGGCCAGGAAGCTGTCCTCAGAATTTCTTGACATAAACTAATGAACACATCAGGGCTGCGTCTGTTTGTTGAAACTTCACAATTGGTATTATGTCAATTCCTGGAGCCTGTTTTGTGCCAGTACCTTAGTGCAGCTTGGACTTCCTCCTTCATTACCAATGGCTCTCTATCACATGCTGTTTCCTACTATGTTTCTGTGTCAACCAATTCTGTTTGGTGCAATGACTCTTTGTATTCTTGCATCTTTTTTTTGGCATCTTTTTTTTAAGTGCTTTTTGCATATTTTATTGTTTTGTCTATGGAATCCTTCAGTGTTGCAACTTGATACTTGAATTTATTTTTTAAATTCTTTCAGTTGAGAAAGGCCAAGAGTGTTCCTCTCTTTTGGTTTGTTAACTCTAGCTATTTGTACATTTCCTAATAATACTTTGTCTCGTCTAGCCGCCTACAGCAGTCAGGAAATCAAAAGACGAATTGCATTGGGAAAATCTGCTGTCA